TTAACTAATTGTTAATAATATTTAATTGTGTCTGTGTCACCAATTAGTGTCCTTGGTGCTAGAACAACCAGACACTCTAATAAAGGATGTGCATGCAAATTCCAAATTCATTTTTAGTTATTTTAAGGTACTTACGGGTTTTCAATAACATCTTTGGTGGATACATGTGCAGCTTGTCTACGTGCCAGGTAAATGATTTCATAAAGGAAAAGTTGGGCCAAGTAGTTTTGGCTCTCAATGCTGAATTCACCTATACTTCCTGACAAGAAGTCTTGACGACACTGGAAGGAGATAAAAAAACAACAACAATCTCCTCCATTGTTTGGACATGTTACAATGTACGACAAGTCATGTTCTTAATGTCAGACAGTAAATGGACATTCCATAAATATTGGAACCTAAGTTTGAATTTGGTGCAAGCACAAAACGGTGAAAAAATTAGCCTCTTGTGGCCATTGCTATGTGGAAGCCCCTTTAAAGAATTGAAGGATTTTGTGCAAAAAGGGCATATATCCCTTTTTGGGCTGATTCTTGCAGGATTGAGCTAATATTATTTTTGGCAGACTGACTTGTTTTACATGTAACATGAAAAACATCATTCCATCATTGTTTTTGTTGATTTGCGCTTCTGTTTTCAAAAAATAACGTATGCAAAAAACTCAGTTCTCCAAGTGGCACCTTTGGAGATCTTTTGTTGAATGAATAATAAAAGAAAGTCTTTGATTCAATAAACAATGAAGTCACCCAAACGTCGCATCTGTCGCTAGAGATAAAAAATTCGTTAATCGTTCAACAAGGTTAAATGAAGGAATCATCACTGTGACGGTGTTTGGATATCTCATCTTAGTTAGCATAAAATTTATGATAATTCTTCTCCATCATTTTTTCTCCTTTGTTCAAGTTTTGATTGAGACGATACAGTATATCAAACACAAAAGACACAGATCGTTCACATTTCAAAATACATTGAAGTTCTACAAAATTACAAAGCCAAGTATTGTATATTCAACTCTCTTCTCAATGTTTGGAGATGTGCTCAAACATGGTCCTTCATGTTTGATATAATTTTGTAAACAAACCTGATGGAAGTAATATTCAAATGCTTTCTTGTCAAAATCTTTGAGCTCAATTCCATGACAAGCTTTAATGCACAGTTTGAAGAAGTACACTTGACTGCACTCTGATTCGCTGAGCACCTTGTTTGGGTTGAGAAAACCCCTGCCATCTTCAGTTACCAAGGTGAAGAAGTCCAAGGCAACTGGAGAGATGTCAACTTTCACAGCTGCTTCAGTGCAGATGTCCTGTAAAGACAGATATCACACAACACATAAATTTACAATTTAGAAATTATTTGATTATTAACAATTATTTACAGGATCCAAGCTTTAAACTTGTCTGCATGAAAGAGGCATAGTTTTGACTAAGCAGACTATTTGGATACAGTTTACTGTAAACATTATCCTGCCTGGGGAAATGCTGTTCTGTTGCAGGATAACTCTTGTCACCTTCCTCCATGTATGAAGAACACATAATTTAAACAGAGAAATAGAAGGCTTGTTTTCTTTTTTTTGGTAATAAAGTTTTCTCATATAATTTTCCAAAAGCACAAACTAAAAGCATGTTTAAATGAATTCCAATTGTAATACTGTAAATTGTACCATGCAAGTGCTCCACAATCACGTCAATGTAGTCTCAATTACTGTACAACTGAAAAATTAAATTTTAAAAATTGTTTCAAGACTAATACATATCTTTTCAGTACATATCTTTTCAGTCTGAACTCCCTTTCTGTTAAGTTTTAAAATTCTTTCCATTGCTAGGAATTGTAAAGAACCCACACCCTTTTTTATTGACACGTTTCAGTCATGTGATTACAGTTTACACTTATTATTAGTTTTTCTAAGAAAATTACCCATGCTAATAAGCTATAATAGTTTTCTAGATAAACATTTACTCAGTACAGTCCCCTTTATACTATGTGTATACAGATGTTCCCTGCTACAACTGTATACTATAGGGGACAGCAATTATCAGTGGTCCCATTAGTATTTCTCGGAACCAAAACAAAGCCATTATTTATATTTCCGGGAATTAATTAATGATGCAAACCTATTGTTTAAGGCCATCAAAACATGACCTCTTATTCACTTAAGTCATTGACTGCAAACATCTTGAGTATTTTGGTGTCAAAGAAGCTATAAGATTTCACTGGAGTTGGATATCAAGAATAAAACTTAGATTTCACTTTTATGCAACAACTGGCTCACCACACTAAATGCACATACAAACACATGCATGTAAAAAACAGAACAAAATATGGTTTTGTATTTAATGGCCAGCAGCCCTTACACAGAGGGGAACAATCTATTTATCTTCAACAAAGGATTACTTTGGCAGAGATACTAAGTTGTTTAAAGCAAACATTCTGTTCATTAGAAGCATTAAAGAGTTTCCAGAACTGCACATCCATGTTGTTCCATGAAGTAATCTTATCACTGATCTTTCAAGAAAAGTTTCAAGTTATGAAGCTAACTAAAATACCTTGGGGTTTGAGAAAATAAACATTAACAGCACTAAAACATCAAAATAATTATAATGACTGATCCATATGTATGGCAATATGGCAAATATTTAGTCTTAACGTTTTGTTACATTTTTCAAGCAAAATCTGTTGTTATATATACTGCTGGAAAGATCAGGCGATGGATAAAAATGATAGGTAAAACAATTCCAATAGTGACTGGAGTTTCCTTTATTGCTATCGATAAACAGTTGATAGTTAAGCTAGCCTTGTACTGTTTGTCAAAACAAATCTTTCTTCAAGAAAAAGTATGGTTTTTAACATACGAATTATGTCTCTACCGCCTTTCATGATTAATTAATAATGCTAGAAAACGGAAAGCTAAAGCTAATTACTGCAGATAAAACCCTGTGAGGACCTAAAACCACAAACCCTAACACACTAATCCATTTCTCCACTAGTTTAAAATAAAAGAACTTCGACCAAGACATCTTCCAATAATTTCGAAAGCGCTAAAAACCAAACCGCAATGCGGTGTTGTCGAAGGCAATAGATCTTTCAATTCTCAGAAATAACGTCAACATGAATTATTTGCATGTACACATAGTTAAGTAGACGAATTTATGGGTTCTAATAAAGCTTGTAAGTAAGATTTGATAGATACTCATGGATACGGCTAAACATCGACCGAACGACACCTTAAAATTCACCACTTTCGTTTTATGAAAAGTAAAAATGCAACTTACCCTGACGCTCAAGTTAGGACGGTAAACGAACGTCAATACTTCGCTGGTTGAAGCGAAAATCACTGTGCCAATTCCATCTCTTGAGGAAGTCGATCGAGACCACGGCCAATTTCTGTTGTACGCTTCTTTCAGCCGTCTCCAAACTCCGGGTCCGCCATTAACACCCATTCTTTAATTCTCTGAGCATTTCACGTCTCAGCATTGATGGCAGACTCGTGTAAGTCGTCGAATCTATAAAACAACGTATTATAAAGTAGAATTTCATTCCCGGAATTAGTTCTCTTTCCTAGAAAACCGTGGTTCCTAGAGGGTGAAGACGTAAAATCTGTCAGGCGTCACTGGCGCGCTTCCTCTTCGCCGAGTAGCAAACCGAAAGCAACTGGATCGAAGTTGCAGCAACCCAATCATGTTTCAGCGTACAGATTTCTTAGGGGAGGGGAGCGTTCGGATTTGCACCTGGAAAAAATTGGCCGGGACCCTTGGAGACAACGAAATTTTTTACCAATTCGGGTCTCGAATCCGACATTTTCTGGATCGGCTGTGGTACCAGTAGTCCTTTCTGAGAGAAAGGCAAAATGACTGAAAATTTGGGAAAGAGGCCTTTGCAGAGGGCAAATTTTGGCGCTGCTTTGGGATAAGACACTAGGTGGTAGATAGAGAAAATTTGTTACCAAATCGTGAAGATAAGACCAAACGTGACGACCATGATTACTGAGAAATGAACGTGACTAAGACACACAATAGAGCTCGTTTCTGAGAAATTCTTCAAATGACATCCCAACCATGTCAATAAATGCGGGGTTTGCATTTGCATCCAGGTAGCCTAGAGGGGGTATCTAGGGAATGCTAGTCACGATATCTTAAGCTAGTTTACACATAATTAATTTGCACTTTTTCTAAGAAAATACGTTACTTGGAAGCTCGGGGTCACGTACCTGGATTTCAATGTTGATTGTTCACAATTCCTAGAATTAAGAGAAAAATCACACGTGCTTTTCAGGATGACAGCTCAAAGTGACAATGTCCAATCCTGTTTCAATACCACAGTGAATTTCCAACCTTGGTTTACTAACGCCAAAAAAACAAAAATGTGAATTCAGAGGTGGAAACATTCAAAGCTAGTTTTCAGTAGATTTCTTATCCGAAGAAACAGCAGATTCCACACGAAAATCGGTGGAATAATGAGTTTGCAGTTCAGTCTAATACAGGGACAGCCTTACAATGAGAACAGGTGTGGTATTCGCCCCGCCCACTTTTCACGCTTAAAATGGAAATATTGGAGAGTATTGTGGGCGCGATCCATTCAGCCAAAATTTCCGGGCCGAGGTTCGAAAATTTTTTGGTGTCGAATGGATCGCAATGGGTCCGAACGGTCTCGTTCCATTCCACTCGTAAAACGAGTTTCGCGCTCATTTAAATGGAGGATGTTGGATCACTGTTGCTCGTATTCAGTTAGATGATGATTTCGACGGTGATATCAATGATGTTGTGTGAGCTGTTTCATGCTTAGTACTTTAACCAGTATAACGGGTTATTTTGAAGAGACCGTTCCCAGATATTTCCTCGGTATGAGTTCAAACACCACTTTCGAATGACGAAAAGAACATTCCAAATTCTCTCGGAAAATAAATCGTCTTCAAGAGCCGTTAACAGCCAAAACATACACTTGGCTTGCTTAGCAGCTATGGACCTGTTGTAACTGCACGTGGATGTATGGGCAACACCGATAGTTCCGCTGTTACGTTAACAATCCATAACAGCTGCAATGATAAGTGTTTTCGTCCATGTTGTACATGGAAAATACCGAACAGCGAGGTACTGGGATCGAGAATGTGTGGGAATGGTCAAATTGAACGGTACATTGTCGATCGGGCCGGTCCAACCGAGAAAAGTGGTCCACCTCGAAAGGTAGACCGATTTTTTCGAAACTTTTCCGGTTGGACCGAACCGATCCATTCAGTTTTAGACCGAAATTTCCGGAAATTTTGGTTGAATGGATCGCGTAGAATCACTCAATCCATGAGTTCAGGACCATTATCAGAAATTTCAGAAATCAGGTCGCCATATGCAGAATACTTACAAACCTTCGGGCGGTGCAACTTGATTAGGAAGAAAGAGTTTAGATGACGTTGCAGGGAATCTTAAAACCTTCGCTCTTTACCATGGATCTCTCGACTCAAGCCCTATAAGTAACCTTTCAAACGTAGCTCTTTGCGTTGAAACAAATTTTGCAGTTGATGATGCTTATCTTTGCTGTAAAGCGCAATCTTGACGCATTCTTGGAGTACCTCGACCGCGCGATCAAAGAGAGGCCTAAGTTCTGGACCGTTAGTTGACGATCAGGCCCCGGTTTTTCGAAGGCTGGATAACACTATTCAATAAGTCATTATCCAGTGGATAAGTGTTAATAGTGTCATCGTAATAGCGATTAATCCGTTGGATGGCGTTATCCACCTTTCGAGCAACCTAGGCCAGTCATGTCCAATATACACAAACGGACACGGTTCGAAACTTCAACTTTAAGCTACTCTACCATCCGCATAGTTTGACAGATCGTAATAAAAAGGCAGGTTTGGGTCTGTATACGATCGGAAAATTGTATCCCATTAGGGGGACTTGAATATAAATCACGTGTTATTTGAGCGAAGGGGTCACATGCGGTTTGTTGATCCGTAAAGGTATAGCCTACGAACGCAGACGTATTTCCAGCTGTCACTTGGTTCCGCCGAAAAATGACGTCTGTGAACCCGAGCCAAGAAACGATTTCTATGACGTAATGACTTTTGTTTCTCCTTGGCCAATCTGATTCCATGATAGAATGAAACTCGAGTGCTCCTCGCAGCGAATACCTCTCGCAGTAGTTCTGGGGTTATTTGAGCTAAACTGTGATTGGCTTAGAATTGCTACGTCACAGAAATCGTTTTCTGGCTCGGGTTCGCAGACGTTATTTTTTCGGCGGAACCAAGTGACAGCCGGAAATACGTCTGCGTTCGCAGGCTAGTAAAGGTACGGTTTGTACAGATCGTAAACGCAGGTTTCGGTTCGTATGCGATCGGAAAATTGCATCGCGTCCGGGGGTCTTGAGTATAAATCACATGTTGTTTAAGCAAAGGCGTCCGGCAACGGTTTGTCAATCCATACGGTTTGTACGGATCGTAAACGCAGTTTTCGGTCCGAATACAGTCCGTAAAATGCATCTCATTTGAAGCGAGAGAAAATATCGATCAAGGGATTCTGCCACAACAAATCAAACAAGCCAGATATACATGTATTCCTCGTTCTTTAAGCGTGAGCAACAATATTGCGCGTTTAAATTTAGCGAAAGAAAATATCAATCGAGGGATAGTGCCACAGCCGTGTCATCCCCTCGATTCTGGCAAGGCGTGATTTATTTTCTAAGGCCCCTTAATATAATGAGATGCAGTTTTCCGACCGCTTACGGATCGAAAACAGTCTTTTTACCGTCTGTCAAACTGTACCGATCGAAAAGTTGTTTTTTCGGACCGTATCAGATTCTGTGTATTAGACAACCCTGGCCTGGGCCAGTTCATTATCTAGCTATAGTTGTACCTCGAAACAAGAGGGCCTGGGGTCGATTAGTTTTTGCCGTTGCTAAGCTGAAACCGATAATATACGATTCAATTTCACCAAAATATTCATGCAGAAATTTGCCCTCCCTATCTTTTGTTAAGATTCAATAGGCAGTTATTTTGAGCAACGAAATGGTGAAATTCGGTGTTAAAATTTTTTTTTACCAGTACTGAGGTGCTCGCGTGTACCCCCGGGGTGTAACCAAGAGAAAATAGGGAGCTTAAGCAACGACGACGACGACACTAGTGAAAAATGAATTTATAATTTACAAGCGAAATTCGCGATTGTCTAGATCTGTTCCGTACGCCAATGGCTCTAAAAACGTGCTTGAGCTAAATATGCAACGACGGCGTTCAATTCCAAATGGAAATACGAAAAATTAGCCGCTGTCGTCCACGTTCCGTAGACGATGCAGAACTTGGTCATTTCACGTTGTTGTTTTGCAGAGGACGGCAATGAAATGTACAAAGATTTATAACGCACGTGCGCAGCTATTGTTTTGCTCGTTAAACCTCTTGTTTAGTGACATTCTCGTTGTCGTCGCCGTCGTGGTTTGCTTAAGCTCCCTAATTTCTCTTGGTGTAACGCACTACTAGCCACAAAACAGTTGTTCTTTCATGAACTTGTCTTCTGCGCCAACTAAAGGTAATGTACGATAATCTATTTCCTATCTAGGGCTTTACCCTTTTCATTGTCACCATCTTGATGTGGTGCGCAGTTTTTATTGGGGGAAATATCGAGTATTTCAGTTAGTACCGTCACTCGGTTTTGCGGTTGTGTTGAAGCGCAAGGGTCGTGATGGAGGTCCTCCTTTCTAATAAATTTCTATCCATCAATTTGATATACATATATAAGTTTTTCGCCTTGTACTTTCGAGCAGATGAGTAATAAAATAATCGCCTTGACCTCATTTATCCATCAAAGAATGTAGTATTGAGCACTAAATGTTGCGATTTTCCCGTAAAGTGATGCCAGCCGAACATCAATATTACAAGCTAATATGCAAATTTAGATTTGTCCGCGGTCAAATTAACAGAAATCGGTTGATAAATAGACCTCTTTAACTTGGGCGGTTTGTTTACCCGTTGCAGACCACGTGATGATACTCTTAGTCGGGAGTATATCAACACAGGCGGCCCAGATGTTGAATACGATTGAAATACGTGACATTATGTTGATGGCGATTGCGTTACAATTTTAGCCGTTTATAAGACAATGTATGAGAATGCTTCGAACATCACTCTAAATGCTACGTGTAGAAAATAATTTGAATAAAATGGCTTACCTGATGTTTACATTGCCTTATTTTGATGTCTCTGGGTTCCTGGAGGTGCTTTGGAGCCATTTTGGCGAGCTCAACTTTCTGGCGGTTTGCTTCCCCTAAAGAGAAACGTAAACCGCCAGAAAGTGAAACTCGCTTAACTGGCCCTAAACCACCTCCAGGAACCCAGAGACATCAAAATACATATTTTAATCGTATTCAACATCTGGGCCGTCTGTGTTGATATACTCCCGACTATTTAAAAATCTGGAAGCAAGAATTCTCAAGAGTATCATCACGTGGTCTGCAACGGGAAAACAAACCGCCCAAGCTAAAGTGGTCTAATAATAGGCAGCTCGATCCGCAGCGACAAGTTTTCCGTTTTTATTCATCAACTTGGTGCTGTTGCAAATTAGTTCCTCTGCTCGCTAACTGAAACAAAGGTGGTGAAATTTTAAAAGCACTCTATTCCCCATGTCTACAAGAAGTGCGCTATATAATAGAAATATGAATTGAAGCTTTACTCATAATGTAAATATGTCAAATATAGCATTTCTTTCAACGTGTCACTTTCAATAGACCAATTTCGCTATATTAAAATTCAGCCTAAAACAATAGACCCCAGTACGAGGCTCTGGGGAATAACTGCAAAGTTTGTGGGGTTTATTTACCAGAGCCTCGTGCTGAGGTCCATTGTGTTAGGCTGAATTTTAATATATCGAAATTGGTCTATTTCAGGCTCTTCGTCGACGTCACGCAATCATTTAGAAGCTACTTCGATTGAGACAAAGTGAAAATGCATTTGGTGTTAGTACATGGCTATTTACTCGGCGGAGCAGGCTCGAATGTCTACACAGCCAACATTGCAAAATCGTGGAAGCGACAGGGCCATGCCGTGACCGTTCTCTGCCAGGATCCCTTCGCCGATCGCCTTGATTTTGTCGACGAGTTTATCGTTGGAAACGACCAGATTCCGGCTTCCGCCCCGCAAGCGGGTACCATCCGAGTTGTGGTACCGGACATCAATGGGCTGTTACTTGTCTATTGGTACGATCTCTACGAAGGATACGAAGTCAAGACTATGGTTAACTGCTCTCTGGACGAGATCGAAGCCAACATCAAGGGGACGGCCGATGGTTTGAAGAAGGTGATCGCTCAAGGTGTCGACCGTATTCTGGCGAATCATGCGATCCTTGGTCCCGTGATAACGAAACGTGCCACGGAAGGAACTGAGATTCCTTTTGACGTCAAAATCCACGGTAGCTCCCTTATCTTCAGCGTCAAAAATCGTTCAGAGCTTAGACGCTACGCTCTGGAAGGAATCAAGCACTGCCGCAAACTTATTGTTGGGGCAAAGTACATGGTGGGTTTCGTGCAGGAAACATTTGAAGCGGAGAAAGAAGAGATGGGGCTGCTTAAAAAGACGGTGATTATTCCCCCGGGTATGGACCCTGAAGTCTTCCAACTCGGCGGGTCTATCAGCGAGAGGCAAGAGGCGTTTTTGGCAAGCGTGGAAGAGTTTATCAAACGAAAGCCTGGTGGTAGACGAGCTGAAAATATCAAACTTCCGGATCACAAAACGCCTGACTTGAACAAGTCATTGGAGAAGGTTGTAGAATCTTACGACCTCCGAGCCGCCGATGCTGACCTCTGCGAGCGCTGGATTCCAGTGGAAGAAGACGAAGCTATCATTTGCTTTTTTGGCAAGTTCCAAGAAACCAAAGGGGTCGGAGAATTGCTTGTGGCTTTCGCGAGCATCGTCGAGAGATTTCCCAGGGCGCGCCTGTTGCTGATAGGGTATGGGGGCAACCGCGAACACTTGGAGGGAATGTTAGCGGCGATGGTTCAGGGCAACTTTGAAGCGTTCAAGGCATACGCGGAGGCAGGGAACTTTGTGGACCTTCCACTAGAAGCGGAGAAGTACTTCCGCCAGATTCCTCCGGGAAGAGTGATGATGACCGGCCTGTTGGAGCACCCCCAATTGAAAGAGATACTTCCTTTGTGCAGCATCAGCGTCATGCTATCGAAAGCCCTTGAAGCCTTTGGGATGGTCTCAGTAGAAGCTATGTCTGCTGGTGTCTTGCCCCTGTGTCATGACCATACGGGAATCTCAGATGTTATAAATACTGTCCAAGAGATTGACCCGGAGTTGGCAAGCATAATGCGCGTGGGGATACGTCCCGGTGGCGTACATGGTGTAGCTGACGGTGCTTACTTGATAGAGCAGCTGCCCAACAAGGTGGAGAGGGCTCTCAGCTACCTGTATCCCAACGGCTTCCGCGATCACACCAAACGACGTGAGGTGTCCGCCCAGCTTAGGGCTGTAGCAGTGGCCAAGTTTTCGTGGGATGTCATTTGTAAAAGTATTCTGGAAGAATAAACGAAGCGAGATCTGGTTCACACCTTCAAAAAATGTTTTCAGTAACGAAAAATCAATTTGAGCTTTAATAATTATTCCACTCCCTTAAGAAGACCTATTCAGATTAGCCTTATACCGAATTGTCTTCACATGTGCAATCAGAGTACTTAAAATCATCTTTTCAAATACAGAACTCATAATATAATCTAATTTTAGCCAGTGCCTTTTTATTTTCTGCCGAGTTTTCGTTTCCATGGTTACATAAGTTGCTAACTGAACAACCGATAGGATCATGACATGTATTGGGAAAAGGTCATTGTCAATCACTGTGATTTCAAATGTTCACAGCTGATGTTGTCATAAACCGATTAATTAAACAGCATCTAAAAGACCGAACGTTTATTGATATCAGTATATTTTCATTTCACGTAGTGACGAAATTTACGAAATTTACGAACCTAGACGAAATTTACCTCTTAGACGAAATTTACGACGTCTGAGAGGTAAATTTCGTCTAAGTAGTAGATTTTGTCTAAGTCGTTCATTTCTTCTAACAGGTAAATTACATCTAAGCCGTAAATTTCGTCTCAGTCGTAAATTTTGTCTACGTCGTAAATTTCTTCTAAGACGTAATTTTTGACTACGACGTAAATTTCGTCTGAGAGGTAAATTTCGTCTAAGTCGTACATTTCCTGTCAGAGGTAAATTATGGTCAGCCAAATGTTGCAAAATTCAACAACTTGCACCTTCATATTCAGCAACTTATATTTATGTTCAACAACATATATTTATATTCAACATTTTATATTTATATTCAACAATGCGCATTTTCTTTCAACTTCAACCAAAATTCTTTTCATTCAACAAAAATATTTGTTCAACTTCAACCAAAAATAATTTCAGTCGACAACAATATTTGTTCAACTTCAACC